GACATAATTTAAACATTGCAGCAAGCAAGCTGGAGGCAATAGAGATGTATGTATTTGAGAGCAATACATGGTGTGAATGTTGTACAGAGAATTAGGCATGCAAAATTTCTAAAATGGTCTGGGGTTACAAAGAGTATACCCTCAAGGGAGGTTTCTTGATTCTGGTGATGTGTCTCTTGATCTAAGGAATTGGACATGTGCTCCAGCTTTTTCATAATTGAGCCCGAATGCCTTCCATTCTCCCAGGTGCTGTATGACCTCTATGGGTTTAGCACTCCTTTATGAATGTAATAATAATACAAACAGTATAATCCAAAGAATGGAGGAGGGGTTGTTGAGGAGGCTTGCCTGTTTAGAAGTGATGGAGCAAAATATTATGACAAAGGTTTATAAATTTCCAGAGTTGAGGAAAGATGTAGGGATTGTCCCAGAAGAGGTTGGAGTAAATGAATTTCCAGGTGGTAAAGGCTTGAGCTTCCAGCAAACTTGTGAACATGGATTGGAGTAGGTGAAGACGTGTGGTTTCATTTAGAGTTGGGGTGTGAACGAGGTAACATTTTTGAAGGGATTCAGGAAGACCAGTTCACTGTACTCAAATCCTAGAGGTAGGAAGTACAGTGCTTGCAGTCTGAAAGAGGCTGCTCAGAGATTATCTTAATTGTGAGGCCTATGCACTTTTGGCAAGACAGCTGTCTTCTCTTTATGAGTCACCCTACCTTGGTCAGAGATGGCTGATAAAAAAAAAAAAAAAAAAAAAAGCTGCATCTTCCCCTTACTTTTCCTACTAAAATTCTTCCATTGACTACTGAATCCAGTCAGTCTACAGCCAATAATAATACTGTATTTTGAAAATATACTTAACATTTGTTTTCACACTTAAAGTTGTGTTTAAATTGCTTTAAATTAATTTAATACATATCTTAATGAGAAGGGTTACTTTTGAAAAATTTTATTTAAAGCTTGAATGACCAGGCAGTATTGATGACAGTATAAAATTTTTATATGTGTATTAATTGTTATTTTGTGCATGATGATTATGTGCTTATATTGCTTTATTGACCTTTTTATGTCACTGGCTTTTGTATAGCTAAATGGATGTATTGATCCCTTTGTTTGATTTAGGAATGATATATTTGTGTGCTTAACGTTATTGCATACTCAGATTTGCTGTAAAAATTTTCATTTGGGATTGTCTTAAGTTAATTTTTTTTAGCTAGATCTTTTTTTGTTCTGTACTGAAGAGGGCTTTTTTTGTCAAGTAGTACAGTAGTTTCTATATGAATTCTGGTGAGCAAATTTTATTTGTATACTTTGAATTGTTAAATAAGCTTATTTTAAAATTGCATAATATTTTCATAAGAGTCAAAATACTGTAATGCAAAGTATATGTACAGAATTATGAATGAAATTGATTTAAAGGTTTGTTATTCAACTTGTTATAGTACAGTGTTTTGTTCGATTTTATGTTATAAAAATTTTAGATTAAGGATTGAATTATTAAATACTGATTATAGGGATGATAGTTAAAACCATAATTTATGAAATGGCTAGTTGTAGATCAGATAAAGATGACTGTCTGTCGGAACAGGAAGTGAGTGCAGGTGGAGGGTTACAGAAACGAGGGATGAAGGCCCATCCTGTTTCCCCAAAAGCAGTTAAATTTAGGGAACAGGAGGTAAACACAAGTGCTCCTCAGGTGTCAGTTGGATTGAAAGCCCTCCTGAATTTTGTACCACCCAAAAGCTTCCAACGACCATGTCTTCTACTGTCCTGAAACAATGACATATCATGCTTACGGATCAGTTGGTATAGATGTACACGAGTAGTTTTTGTCCCCAAAGGGTTTGGAGTGATTTTTTTGTTTATAAAAAAAATTATGACCCAGTATACTTAGTTTAAATGCGTAACACTGGTAATAGTTTTTTTTCACATGATTGTATTCAGAAGTCTATTTATTCACAACAAAAGAATAATTATTGCATTTGTGTAAATTTTTGTAAAATGCCTGCAGTTTGGATGTAGTTTGTACGTTGTTTTTGTTTACCATCTTATTGTTATTCCTTTTTTTGGTCTATTTTGTGTTTATTAAAGTCTCTAGTCCCCTTATACTGTACAACATGGCTTTCAGATTTTTGAATTTCTTCCTTAAAATTTTCCCATTACCATTCAGAAACTTAGTTTTTTTCCATAAGGAATGTTTTTCTATTGGTAAAAAAAATTTATTGATATGTACCCCAATTTTAGTGTGAGTGATTCCTTGAACATTATAAATTTCTTTTTTTTGCAGGTTTTGTGAGGTGTTTTTTATTCATAAAAGATCAAAATTTTATTGCTTAAACCCCTTAAAAATTTAAAAATTTTAAACAAAGGTTATTTTTTCTTTTAAAAATTCACTAACAAAACAGTTTTGTTTTATTTTAAGTTTTCTTTTTGTATGAAGAATATGGTAAATGGAAAATTTTTCAACATGGGGAAAACCTCTTTGTTTATTATAATCCGGGTTTTAGAATTTTAGTAATAAAACCCCACAAAATTTTTAATTTTTTTTAATATTTTTTCAGTGAGAAAGGGGTATGGTGATCCATTGTTCATACGCATGCAGTACAGAATTTAATTATTTAATGTATTTGTTTTTTCTTTTATATAGCAAACTTTTTGGATTGTATACTTACCCATGTTGAAGTTAAAAAATAGTCTTATTTTTTCCTAAAAAAGAGAAATTGTCGTAAATAAATTTGAGTAATGACTTAAAAAATAGGAAATGGTTAAATAATAAAAGTAATAATGGTGCAGTATAGTAACTCAGTCATAATAACGAAATTAAAAGTTCAAAAACATGTCCATGGACTGAAGGAATGTAATTGCCATAGATAATTGATTTCATGAGTAATCATACATGTAATATTAATTATAATTTTTCATATGTACTGTGAAGTTTCTTATTGGTTGCTTTCCTAGTACCAAAGTTTGACCCTAGAATTTGTCTTGTTGCTGGTCCAGCTGATAGGGTTTTCAAGCATCCTCAACATTTTTTTTGGTTCACAATTAGTTCTTATTCTTCACTTAATATCTGTGCATGCACTTACCCACATAATTATAAAAATCTCATCAATACCAATACAATTAAAAATTTGTCTTTTGCTGTTTATCCATTGCTTCCTTATCTTTTAGTTTTGCCCTACTTCTTTGTGTTCCTCATGTTCCTAAGTTATGCACCTTCACTTTGGTTTCTTATGACCTCTATACTAGTTTTATTTCCATGAAACATGACATTGAAAATCCTTGAGTGTGGGTGGATGATCAGCAACAACAGTTTGTTTGTATTTATCTGGTTGTCCTCTCAAAGAAAAGAATGATTTCCATAATTTATCATTGATGTTAGTGTAAATCTTTATAAAAGACAGTTACTAAATAATACTTGATACTGTAAATAGTTCCATAAATACAGTAATAGTTTTAATAATATATGAACATTGTGTCAAGAGAATCATTAAGTACATGTGTTTTTTATGTAGTTTTGCAAAATCCCATTCCTAATTGTAAAAATATTTGGCTCTACTTAGTTTTAACCAGTGGCATATAGCACTGCTTGGTGTAACTTGTTAGAATATTAGTTGTGCAGTTTGATACTGTATATCATAGTCATAGTGCAGTACAGTCTATGTAAATTAATAATGAGCCTCTTGTGTGTCTTGCAGTGAGGTTAATGTTTCTTAAACCTAACCTTGCCTCTTTGCACTTGTGTTTGCTATCTTTCCCTCTTCTAACACTTCGATTTATCAGTTTAGAAGATGATGCATGCTGTATTATGTATAGCAGAAAATGCCCATAAATGCCATGAAATATAATAGGACAATCTGTTTGAAATCATAAGGGTTTAGGTATCCAATTTATCCAGGGACCCACATGGGTTTATTGTGCAAGACTTGCCAACTAGTGGTTTAGAGGAGTACCAGATTCACAGCTTCGTAGATTTACACTCAGGTTATGACAAAATTAAAAATACTGCACAGTATGGGAGTGCATATGCGTAAAAGGTGCTTCTAGGTAGGGGCCAAAATATAAAGGCTATTGTGTTCAAAATCTAATTTAACTAATGTTTGGAATAGCCAAACTTGTGGGAAAGCTGTTGCCACCATAATTTTTTTTAATTGATGTGGCCATAAGTATAATATTGTACTGATTTGTTTTTAAGGGTATATCTTAATTAATTTGCACAGGAATTAGTTGATTTGTACTAGGATAAGATTTAGGGAAGGGAGATAGAGAAAAATAAATGCTAATAGATTTATGTTAAATTTAGTTCATTTCAGAATGCCATTTAATTTTAAGATTTTAAGGAGTAAGTCGTTAGAAATTAATTACCAGTAACTCATTTTGTTCATTTTATTAAGATTTGTTTTTGGTTGAGCTTTTAATTGGGCACTTACAACTATCAGACTGTTTTAAGTGTTTTAGGTTTAATTACCTGCAGTGTGAATGTATAATGTGTTAATAACCCATTTACCAATATTTATAACTCAGGTAAAAGTGAGATTAGAAATGCTAATTTTATGCACAGTTATTACCCTTCTAGTAGAGTTTTTGAATGATTGCCGTTAACACAATTTTAATCAGTAATTGAGTTTACTATATGAATTTATTGTTTTAATTACTCATAACCAGCTTTAAAGTTTTTCATGTATTTTTAAATATATTCTTGATGTTTTTATGTGGGGACTGGTATTAATTTCTTAAGTATGATTTTATAGCTGTAAAATTAATTGTTAAATCCTACACTTTATAAAAAGTTTGATAATGAATTTGGTCTGCAGTTGAAATACTAATGAATTATTTGTAGTCTTAAGGAAGAACAATACTTTCGTTTTTGGTAAATAGCTAAAGGTGATTTGTAGTTTTTATCATGACTTGTATATTCAGTAATCATTTTCCACTAATTTAAGAAAGAAAATAATTTTTGCCTTATGAGAACATATTGATTATTGTCAAATTTTTTGCAGTCCCCTATTGTTGTTTGGAAGATGAAAGCTCCAGAGAAGAAGCCATTGGTGCGACGTGAGAAAGCGGAGGAAGTGAGAGCCAAAGTTCGTAAGGGCAGTCAAAAGAAGCCTGTCTCGGCTCTCAAAGCTCTTGCCGAATTTCAGAGTCCAGCAGATGCAATTTAGAGCATTCATCTGCTTTAAATATAGGTCTATTAAATTTGTAACTTGAAAATAACATATAAATAGGTGCAAAGGCATCATGCACAGATTGTATTGAGAATATTTTCCACCAGTTCTTTACAGCTAATTAACCTATAATTTATAAAGCCCTGCAGAGGGAGGCTAATGTAAAACTAGGAACTTTTTTATATTTTCTTTTATTTGTATAATTTGTACCAGGTACATAATTTGGTCGATATGCATGAGCATATTTTTGTATTAAGGCAGCCAGTAAGTACAGCAATAATGATGTCATATATAAGTAGCTAATGCCTTAAGACATTAAAAGCAAAATAAAATACTCTCCAAAGCTGTGTGTCACAAAAAACAAAGTAGTAATTTAAAATCTCTAAGTTCATTTCTAGTACATGGAAATAACTATTGTATGCATAGTGAATGTATCCTTCATATGAAGCAGTTATTTCGTTGTCAACTGGTGACAATCAGAACTCTTTGCACTAACATTTTCTGCATTGATAGTCTCTTAAGTTAATGGAAAAAATTGTGACGAGCTGTTCCACCAAATTATCTACATGGAAAACTCAATATGCCGGAAGATGAAGTTGCAGGTAGCATGCATCCATACTTACCATGTTTACAATCGTGCTGTTGGAGTGTGAGCAAAGTAACATTTATGAAGGGATTCAGGGAAACCGGCAGGCCGGACTTGAGTCCTGGAGATGGGAAGTACAGTGCCTGCACTCTGAAGGAGGGGTGTTAATGTTGCAGTTTAAAAACTGTAGTGTAAAGCACCCTTCTGGCAAGACAGTGATGGAGTGAATGATGGTGAAAGTTTTTCTTTTTCGGGCCACCCTGCCTTGGTGGGAATCGGCCGGTGTGATAATAAAAAAAAAAAAAAAAAAATCATATGCGAGTGCTATACTCAGTTCACGGGTTTATTGTACAGTATTCTTCAAGTACAGTCCTTCCCCCTCCATTGCCCCCCTTTTTTAAGCAATGTTATACACTCCATAACATTGTCAGAGCACTCTTTGCCTTGTGTAGGTGATGAGGCAAGTGTAAGAAAGAGGGGTTACTTTAATACTGTACTAGTTTTAAGATAGTAAAGAATATGTAAATAATTATTTATGAGGTATGGGAAGTATTATTTAGACCAGAAAAATTGCTAATCCAGAAGGATCTTCATTCCCAAGCATTTAAGAGTTTTGACTATTAGGAATGATGGATATGAATATATTCAATAATTCCTTCTTTGTCCAAGAGTCATTTGAATGTATCTGTTTTGTGCATCCAGTTATCATTAAAGCATTAGAGCAGTGGTTTCAAAAATAATTTGAGTGTCTTTCCACTACTGTAACCCACTTCAACACCACTTGTGCACCAACTTTCATTTAAAATAATTTAAGATAGTAATGTACTCTAAAGCTGAGGAAAAAAAATGTGTATGATATTACTTTACATGGAGAAGTATTTAAGGCTTATTGTACGATATTCTTTAATATAAAAAAAGATTAATTATAGTTGGAAATGCTGCTAAATCTGAAAAAAATCATCATATACGTTTTTCATGTGATACGCTCACCATCAGTTGGGAACCACTGTATTAGAATGACTCGGTCCTTGATTTGTGGTATAAAAAAGTCCTTTTATCTTTTCAAAACATAAAATAAAACCTTAATATAATGGTCCCATATGTAATGGATTTCTGATGTAACAAAATAATTGGCCAGATAAATGTTTGATGCAACGAACTAAGGCCGCTGCATCGAGATTTTGTCTGTTATTAGTAGTCTCTTCATACAATGAACCATAGCAGTTGGATTGGGCATTTTGACACAATAGGTTTTTGCTTAACCCTTTCACTGTCAGAACTCCCCAAAATTAAAATTGCTGCCAGTGTCAGGATTAAAAAAAAAAAAAAAAAAAATCTGAAATAGTAGAGAATCTTTTTCTGAAGACAAAGACTCAAACTATTTGATAAGAAATTTACAAATCTACTTAGAAAGTTTGCATTGGCACAATCTATGCATTAGCAGTTTGAAGGAAATTTCATTCCTCAATTTGAACAAATTCTTAGCCATTTTGCTAGTGCACACAAGTCAGTAATTTGGCCAATTTTACATAAAATTTAACATTCTGATTTAAAAAACAATCCAAAATATTGTATGCATTCCAGCAACTAAAGCAACCTATCCTCTGTTCATTAATCATGTTCCCAGGCTTCTATATCACTTGCCCTCCATTTTGAACCCATCATTACAAAAAAGAAAAAAAAAATAGAGTACAAACCACAATTTCTTGGATAAAATATAACCAGGAATGATTGGTTGTGGTTTAGGGTGTCTCAGTAACTGAAGCAGAACTGGTAAAAACCCATAAAACAGACCAGGGAAAGTAGGGAAGCCTTACCCTGCCTTAGGAAAATTATAAAAAATCATACATTTCAGCCACTTTGAGCCGTATTTCAAGCTAATTTTGGTTCTAAAACTGCCCCAAACCTTTTATTTCAGTACGTATTATGTCTTCCATTCTATCAAATAGTACTAAGAAACAGCATATAAAACCAAAAAACCTAGAAAACTTCAAATTAGCTATTTTAAACCAAACAAGAGGTTTGCTTTTCCCATCATGCACCACATGGGGCAGGATTTTTTTTTTTATTCGGTGCGCACAATTACACAGATGTATTCTTTTATGTCTAGGCCAAAATTTACAGCTCACAGCATGTTTGAGGGTGCTGTGCTTAAATTATTGATGTACATGAGCTACCCTGTATCAATAACATAGATCTACATAAGAGACCATGAAAGGTGTTTAATGGAACCCCCCCCTACCTCCCTATTAGTCTGTTATACTGGAGGTTTCACTATTTTGTTGCTGCAAATAAAAAAAACTTCTTGCATTTGTTTTTATTACTTCAGTATTTTATTTTGTGAAGTTTACAAATAGTGGACCAATTATTTTGTGTACTGTGTGAATATTTATCACTCAACATTACCATGTTTGAACTTGGTTTTGGGTAAATATGTGACCACTGACTCGGCATATTCAGAGGTCAGTTGAACTGAGACTAGCCAACTTTTTGTTTTCCTGGAGTAGGAAATAGGAAACTACTGATTTTTTCATATACACTAATACCCTGATTGGAATAAGTTACCGTGTAGCATTAAAACATGGTAAACTAATGCACAGCTTAGGGATGGTAATGCACAATATAAATAACAAAGACTTTATTTCAGGCAATTTTCTTGTACACAGATGTGCATATTGATCAGAGTACAAGGCTAAATTATTGAAAAGGAAAAAATGAGTATTAAATATGGCTGTTTAATTTTATAAACAGTATAATTTAGACATGTAGTTTCATAATGGTTTAATAACTTTTACAAGTTGGTCTGATAACTCCTTATCAGATAATGAAAGTAGACTACCACCATACTTTTATTGGCTACCAGTTAACTGAACCATACTATTTATTACATAAGGGGTTGAGTGCTAAACCCATAGGGATCATGCAGCACATGGTGAGAATAGGAGGCAATCAGGCTTGATCCAAGGATGGGACAATCATGTTAAATTCCTTAGATCAAGCCTCACCAACATCAAGAAACATCCCTTGAGTGACAACTGAATTTTCCTGTCACTGTGGGGTATGGTGAAAATTATTGGTATAATTCTGGTACTAAAGTGGTATAAACAACCAGCAGTTAATTGAAATAGGGATAGCTCACACATTAATCATTCCAAAATATTTTCATCTTACATTTATAGCTTAGATTTAAGTTTTCTTATATTATTGTGGTACTTCATTATGCATCCATGAAGAATTTGTCACCTGTAAATTTTTTTTGGTGATATTCTGATAAAGAATATTTTTAGTACTGTAGTCTAAACTCAGTGATTTAATATAATAATTAGTAACTTCGCATATCATAACTTGCTGTATATTGGGACAATTTCCTGAGAAAGTTTACATGGGCAGCTTTTTTGTATTCATTAGGATAAGTTTATGTTATGGGTCATTCACTATAATAAAGGCCCCCCCCCACCAAAGCAGATTATATGGCATGCTGGTCATGATCAATAAATATTATTTTGTTTAATATCAGCAGTTGACATATAAAATGTATTACAAATATGAGAAGTGTTATAAATGTTATATTCACACAGTACTGCATCATATATCATTCATGATTTGTTATCTGTTCTATAGTTTATGCCAAGATAAAATTTGACAAGTAATAAGATAGTTTTCCAGGGCTTAATGTAAGCCTTGTCTTTTACAATAGGTTTTAGAATGTGGCGATGTATCCAGTATTTTATTGAATTTTCTCATCATTTCATTAATTTTCTTAAATATTTTCTTTTTTTTTAAATTGGCAGTCATAATTTTATGGTTTACTTAATATATTATATCCATAAATATCACGTACTTTGGGTGCCAAAATATATGTAAAGATCCTAAAAGACAAGTTTCTTGGTTTCATTATCCCCATAACACTAATAAATTGTATTAGCTAGTTTAACCCTTTCAGGGTTCAGAGGCTCAAATCTTAATTTGTTGGAAGATGAGATAAGTGACAGAGGGTCCAAGAATTTCTGAAAAAAAAAGAAAAAGTTTCTTTTAGAATTAAGATATTTTTTCTATAGGTAAATAATAATTAAACAAACAAAAAAAATCCTATCAGTAGTTTCCGAGATATAGAGGTTCGAAGTTGACCCTCAATGACCAGGTGATGGCAACATCCATGACTTCCATAAAGTTGCATTTTTTAATTAGACATATTCAGCCACAGTCGTCATCTTTCCATGGTGGATTGACATCGAGACTTGTCGGAATGCTGCAAGTAGCGGCCTCCCTTGGGTCCCTCGGATTCACTCCCAGTCTAGGTGGTGCTGCCATGGCTTAGCATGCTGGTGGCTCCACACCAGCATAATTGGCCTATCCCTCCCAAATTGTAGACGCATCACTCTTCATGGGGGGCTCCTTGGGTGGTGGAAGAGGCTCTTGGTTCTAGGAATTAGCCCTGTCGGTCTTCTTCCTCAGACCGAAACTAATTACCCCCCAGCTCTCTCCTCCCCTGATCCCCATCCTCCCCTTTTTCCATTCCTCCTTCACCTCCTCCTCGGCCTCTCCCTTTTGCCCTTCCTCTTTTTGGCCTTTGGGATTCGTTCTCCCACAGGCTGGCACTTGTTCCTAGGTAGGGGGGAAAAGGACACCGGGGGTCCATCCCATTCCGTTGAGGTTTCTTCGGCGGTGGCGTTTTAGTTTGCCGTTGGAATCTGGATTGCCTGGGGATTTCCCGATCCCCCTCCGGTATCCCGGTAGTGGCTTTTGGGTGTCTTTCGGGCGATTGGGTGTATCTCTGGAAGCCACCATTTCGGTTTCCGGGGCAGTTGGTGGCCAAAGGAGGTATGCTTTGTGGCGGGATATCCGGCCGCCCTCTTTCTTTTGTCCACCGAGGTAGCTTGGCAGATGTGAGGGTTGCTATCCCGGATGATTACTGGTTTACTGGATGAAGGGTTAGGGTTAAGGCACGGGTTCCATGCTTGCATCTGTGTGCTACTAGCGTGCGGAGGGAGATTTCCGGCCCTTTCATTCTATGGGATCTATTCCTCCCCGCTCCCACGTCCCTTTTTTTTATTCTTTTTTTATTTTTATTTTTCTTCCTTTCTTCTTTCTTTTTTTTTCTTAAAATAACAAAAGCAAAGCGATTTTAACCTAACATGGCCAGCCTAGTCCATGAACCCACTACCCCCGGGCCCCTTCTTGATAACCCAACCCCCAATTCTGACCCTGCCTTGGTTTAGAACCACTCTTGGGACACTCCTGATGCCCCTGTACCTCTTGCTGGTGCTGTTTCCTCACCCGCTTTCAGGTACGGGGCTTCGACCCGACTCCTGCGATTTGTCTGAACTCCACTCTCCTTTTGACTATGCTTCCGGCTTCTCCTCTCTACGGTACTGGCATTTCGAATCGCCACCCATTTACGCCGGACCAACTTCCGGTCTACTCCTAAACGCCATCGTCTATCATCTGATGATGCTCACTTCGTTACCTTCCCATTCCTACTCTGGGAAAAGTCCCGACACGGTCAAGCTCTCCCTCTCCCACGCTCAGCTATCGGACCACACAATGGACTAATTCTTACTTTAGTGACGAACTTATTCTGCCTACCTTTCTGACCATAAGTACTGGCAAAGCGCTCCTGACGTCAATGTTGGTAGAGATATTTCATTTCATGCTCTCAAGAGCGGTAGTGAGCATCGTCACTGTCCAGAATGCTAACCAAGCTCATGATCTTTCTCTGCCCTTTTGAATTATCGATAACTTTCTCCTATCACTATTGAAAAACATCTTTCTCTATTTCTTGTTGTGGTACTGTCATTCTGCCCATACCATAGTTTCCTACAGAATTTCCAGTCATGTGGCATTGTCATTTTTGAACAGCTGGAACTCTGGTTCTCAATCTCATAGTAGACACTTATTGTCCTTCATGCCCCGGGGGCGGAAGACGTACCCCTTGCAAATGTGGCTCGTTTTAACTTTTGACAGCCGAGACCTCCGTCCTCTGTATTGTCGCGGGGACATTGGTTACAAGTTCGATAGTGTGATACTTCACCGCAACAATGCTTAGATATTGCTGGCGATTTGGTCTACCCTGCGAAATATTGCAGTTCTATGGCCGAATGCCCAGTCTGTGGTGCCGAAACCCATTCTAATACACATCTTGCCAGTCAACCTCCTGTTGCCTTAATTGTAGTGAAGCTCGCCTTCGTATTCCCGCCGTTGCCAGGTCACTTAATATGAAACGTGAAATCGTGGCCTCAAATAGGCAGAAGGTCTCCCTTATGCATATGGCAGTTACTCATCTCCGCCTCCAAGGGAGACTACCCCATGTTTTCTTATGTTCTCGTGTTTCCAAACATCCCCCCACGTCTGGGGTCCCATCTTCTGCAGCCCTCCGCTGTTATTACCCCTCCCATAAGCCACTACGGGCATCTAATCCTTTTGGCTGTCCTTGGTCTCTGACATCCCGACTACAACTCAGTCTGTTCTCACTCTTCGGCGTCCTTCCTACAAGCCCGTATCGACAAGACCTCGTACGGGGGGGGGGGGGGGGGGGGGTGGGGGGGGGGGGGGGGGGGGGGGGGGGGGGGGGGGGTGGGGGGCCCCCCCCCCCCCCCCCCCCCCGCCCCCCCCCCGGGGGGGGGGGGGGGGGCGGGGGGGGGGGGGGGGGGGGGGGGGGGGACACCTAATACCAATGCCCCTCTACTAGATAGTCAAAAAAATCCACAATTGCTCAAATCTTCTTTGCCCATTTCCTTCCCTTCTTCCACCTCCACACTTTACCTTTCCAGTTCTTGATACCTAGTTTTCCCCTGCTCTCTGGGTCTATTACAAGTGTGGGAGATTCACCCTCCTCCTAGTATATATACTTCCACCCCGTCCCCTCCCAAGTTTCTCCTCTGCGTCTGCCTCCTCCAGGTTTCTGCCTCTTTCTGTCCCCCCCACATTCAGCTCCTGTCCCTTACACTCTTCCCTCCCCATCTACTTTGGTACGTCCATTACTGTCCCAATCTTTACTCACCCTCCTCCTTCTATCCTCCTATATTGTCTCCCATCATCTTTGAATCAGAAAACACTTGAAGCCATTTCAGAATATAATTGCAGAGAACTAAACCTTGCAATGGACTGATTCACTTCCTGTCTCTTAGCTTCCCTACTCCTACTACATCTTCACAACACCCATTCTTACAACGTGCCGTTCTTCGCTACTTGAACGTTCTTCAATGACACTACACGTTGACTTTTCTAACCCCGCTAGTCCGTGTAGTTGCCTTTACGCTACGGAATTCCTGGTATTTTTCATCCAATCATGGCCTATTTACAGTGGAA